ATCATTCATTAAATTTTATAAAATATTAAAAGTGAAATAACATTTGGAAACAGAAAAATACCGTTTAGAAATAAGTATATAGATTGTTATAAGCGAGCAATCGGGATTTAGATCCAAGCGCTCCTGAGAAACTGCACTGAACTTGGTAATAGCAAAATGGAAAGAAAGATGGTCGAAAAAACAAATAGAGATTTCAGTTTTTCTGGATCTGAAGAGAGCTTTTGAAACTGTTGACGTAGGAAATTTGCGCTTAATTGGTGCAAAAGCTACCTTAACGGAAAAACCAAGGAACTGTAATAAGAAATACACCCAGCAAGAAATCGGTAATTGCTTTTAGTGGTAACGTGTTCTAGAAGGCATAGCGTTATAATGCCTTCGAATTTTTTCGCTTCTTTTAGGCATTGTCGGTAATGCAAAGTAGAATGTCCTACAATATTTTATTTATTTCGCTTCTTTGTTTCATTTTGGGGAATGCAAAGTAGAATGTCCTATAATATTTCTTTCTTAATTCGCTTCTTTGCTTCATTTCGGGGAATGCAACGTAGAATGCTGCATCGTAGTCAGCTGAAAAATAGAATGAATATCCAAAAAATCTTTTCCTACCGTTAGTTTCTGTGGAAATTTGTCTCGCATAAAAATCATGTTTTGCTTTGTTCAATTTGCAGCGAAGTTGAAGTCAGTCAATGAAGTGAAGTACATGAGTGAGGAAGTACAATTTTAAGCTTAATTAAATATGCATGTATGTACATACCGATTTTTAAGTAAAATCTAAATACCCAAATACATACATATGTTTGTATAAAAACTGATTTATAAAAATTTTAATTAAATTTAATCTTTTAAGACATTTTCTGATATAATATAAATAAGTATGTACTCATCTGGGCATTCTACATTAGTTTCTCTGTAAGGCATTCTTTGTTCGCTTCTCTGGATTCTGTTTATCCATGCGTTCTCCCTTCGTTTGAAGGTAATGCTGCGGGTAAGGGCTTACCGCCAATGACATGCCCATGTTAAAATAAGGCCTTCCTGAAGCGAAAGGGTAAGCGATTCCCATCGCCTAGCTCGTTTCCACATTCGTTTCTATGGTAATCGTGTTTTTTGCTGGGCACTGTCATAAAAAATAGACGTTGAAATGGGATTACCACAGGGATCAGTGCTCGCAGCACTTTTGTTTATTATATATATAAATGATATCAAAAACTGCCAATGTAAGATAAGATTATTAACGGATGACGCATTAATAACCATAAGCTGCCAATCACTTGATGTTGCAGTCTCTAAAGGCTGATTCACAAACAACTTTCTTCGCTTTCCTTGATAGTTCTTTGCTTTGACATATAAGATCGATGTAGGTATATGAATGAGTATGCTCACATAAAAAANGACGTTGAAATGGGATTACCACAGGGATCAGTGCTCGCAGCACTTTTGTTTATTATATATATAAATGATATCAAAAACTGCCAATGTAAGATAAGATTATTAACGGATGACGCATTAATAACCATAAGCTGCCAATCACTTGATGTTGCAGTCTCTAAAGGCTGATTCACAAACAACTTTCTTCGCTTTCCTTGATAGTTCTTTGCTTTGACATATAAGATCGATGTAGGTATATGAATGAGTATGCTCACATAAAAAACGTTTGAAGCAAAGTAAAGCAAAACGAAGCAAAATCTTTGGCAACTCTCAACTTTTACCCGCTTTGTCAATTTGTCTTTCCTCGTGCGCTTGCATTTGCATTTAATGAGAAAAATAGGGTAAATAGGAATTATTATTGCTATTATTAATGCATATTATTATATTGTTATCTATTTTACAGATAAAATGTATGGAGGAAAAGGAGAACGCAAAAGCTGTCAAAGCGTTTATTGTAGCATACCTTCTGCGTTTCACGCTTTGTTGTCAAAGTTTGAACTGTCAAGCAAAGCGAGGAAAGTCTTATGTGAATGGCCCTTAAAATGCAAGCAGATCTAGAGTCAATATACCAGTTAAAAATTATTGTAAAAAAAAAAATTGATGATTATGAGAAAAAATAAGCAAATTTTGATAACGTTTCCTTAAAAATAGCAAGCACCACTATTCAAAGAATATGTAAACCAAATCAAATACCTGGGAATAATAACACAGGGCAACACTGATATTCGAAGATGTTAAACCTGTTTTGATAGACTTTTTTGTGCTGATTAGGAATCTGTAATACTGACGGATTCGTAGTCAGCCCAAAAAGTCAATCAAAAAAAGCTTTAACATTTTAGGAAACAAAATTTTTCGTAATTTTTGTTCGCCTGTGTAATAGAAGACAAGTTAAATTAAATCCAGGAGTTATAAGACAGCTTAAACTGGCTTAGTGTAAAGCAACTAGTTAAATACTTTACGCTGAAATTTATACACAACATGAAATTAGAAACCTGCCTAGTTATTTAATCTCGCCCATTCAGATCGCCTGCTAGTAAAGTAGTATGGAGAAGATGCGGCTTGGAAACTAGTCCTTTCCAACCGCCTATAATATGTACTATGCTGCTTCATTCCGACAGCTTCAAAAATATGATACTTTTAGATATTCATAAGGATACTTATGAATAGGCTGTGTTATAATTAGATTAATGTCTAAGTTCGCTTCTTCTGGGTAAAGTTAGCCTTAATGTTCCCTCCCGTGTATCAAGACACTTTTATCCCCTATTTTTGAAAACTTGTAAAACTAATTATGAATTACACGAGCCACTCCGTTGCTTATTCCAGGATTTTAACTCTCATTCCAGCATATTTGATATATCTGATTAGCTTTTCAGCATTAAGAAAGCGATACTATCCTCTCTCAATAAATGAATAATTAACATAAAGACATAAAATCAGCTGATGAATTTAGTTCTGTAGCTGAACAGTTTTAGATCTCGACACTTAACAAACTCCTGCCTATCGTGACTCGGCGCAAAAAATTGAAAATATTGGTTCCGTACGTCATGCGGACTGCGCCCCTCGTGCGGATGGGCGGGAATGGAGGCTAAAAACCGTTGGGATTATTACTATTATTAAAAAATATTCGCAGAGGTTGTTGGGTCTTCCTCGTCAAAATTATGGGGTCGTCAGTTTCTCGTAGTCTTTGGTAAGTTTCATCATAGACTCGGTACTCGGAGAGTAGGATTCTGTAGTCACGCATTGAGCCGTAATCCGCCTACGGGTTACTTCTTTAATATAAGTATTATACATGGGCGTAGCCAGGTAGGGGCAGGGGGGTGCTCGAGCCTCCCCCCCTAACTTTCAAATTGTCCTTATATATATATAAAATGGTACCCTGAAATGTCAGCTTAATAGGGTCGAGCCCCCTCCCCCCCTAAATTTCATTCTGGCTACGCCGATGGTATTATACCTTTTTGGATAGATCAAAAGATATACTTACCAGTCTCAAAATAATTTGCAGAATAATTTCCACCAGTGGCGGATTAACAATCTGGTGGGCCCTGGTGCGAAATTTTTTTGGGGGCCCTTTTCCATATAAATATTTTGCGATTAGAATACAGTTTGATCGTTATAAATTTAAATTGCGGTTCATGTAACATATTTGATCATTGGACGTTGTTTTGCTCTGTGCATTAAACGCACTACTCCATAATATTGATGTCATTTTATATTGACATTTTTTGGTTATTGTTATAGTCAGTGTTTAAAAAACTGCAATAACTTTCATTTCATTTGCTATCACTTAAACTTACTGCTCTGAACAACAAAGCAGTCGTAGTGTTTGTAGTGCCTTTTAAAAATTTTGATTTTGATTTGATTTTGATTTCGTCAGCGCAACAAGTCAAAGTAAGTAAGTAAGGTTTGCTTTTGCAAGTTGTATTCAGCAGCAGTCGTGAAATATGAAAATCAAACTGATTGCAAATATGTAATTTATAATATCAAGCAGCAAAGAAAAAACCTTGCGAAGTCGTCGGCAAACACAAAACAGCATCGCTTATTGCTTGCAAAAAGTTTGATTTTCATATTTCACGACTGCTGCTGCACACAACTTGCATAAGCAAAGAAAATCCAAATCAAATCAAAATCAACAGTTTGAAAAGGCGCGACAAACAAGGCGCCTTGCTTTTTGTTGCTTTCCAGTTTTTGATTTTGCATGAACTGCGACTGCTGAAAATTCCTAATATGGTAAGCACACGCAATTACTCATTTTAAAAAGCGACGATAAGTAAAATCAAAAATAATCAACATTTTCACGACTTTTGCTACTTCGACTCAAGTTTTTTAAACACTGGTTATAGTCATTTCGTAAACATGGATAAGTCTAGAAAATATAAGAGTGGAGCTGAAAAGCGCAAATTAAAAAAAAATAAAGACGAACGCGATAAGCAACTGCTTTCTAAAATACCGAAACTAACAAGCCACTTCGCTAATGCGACGACAACTGTAAACGAAGCAAATTGTGACAATCCTGAGTTTTGTGAATCTACTTCTGATACTTTTTCAATTCCATCAACGTCAAGAGAGGTTAATTTCCAACATGTTGACAGCACGATCGAAGGTGTACAAAATCCGGACGATGTCGAAAGTTCGGTGAATGTATCAAAAATTGATGAAAATTCCACCAATGTGTTTTCAAATGACCCAGGTTTGTGGCCTATTCAATTCAATCAATCAATCGTTCAAACTTATTGGATTAAGAAGGGTATGCTATCGTTGGTATTTCAATATAAGAGTAAAAAATTAACACAGAATACTCTTATTTAGGTCCCTCGTCGTGTCGCAATATTGATTTGATCGCAAAGAAATCTGGACAAAGAAACTTTTCTGAATATCATTTGCATCGGGTTTTACCAAATGGAACACAGACCGAACGTGATTGGCTGATCTATTCGCCGTCAGTCGATTCAGTATTTTGTTTTGCTTGTCGCTTGTTCGGTAATTTAGACGAAAATGCAAGTTCATTTGCTCTAAAAGGTTTCAATGACTGGAAACATTCAAAGCGTGGTATTTCAATTCATGAACAATCTCATGATCACATGTCCAACAATGTCAAATACAAAATGCGACTAAAAACCGATTCTTCTATAGAAAAAACATTCGAAAATTCACTTGTCAATGACATGACTTATTGGAGGAAGGTTTTGAGTCGTGTTGTAGAGGTTATCAAATTCCTAAGCTCAAGGGGTCTTGCGTTACGTGGTCACGATGAAATTCTTGGGTCCAAACATAATGGAAACTTTCTTGGATGTTTGGAGCTGTTAAGCAAATTCGATCCATTTTTGGCAGAACATATCACACGTTTTGGCAATAGAGGAAAAGGTATACTTCTTCAAAATAACTTCGAAAATGATTTGTCTCTTCATTTGGTATGTTTTTTTTGCAGGAAGAGCTTCGTACCTTTCAAGTTCAATATGTGATGAATTCATATCGATTATGGGAAAAGGTGTGAAGGAAAAAATCGTTTCGGAGATAAAAGAAGCCCGTTATTATTCATTTAGCATTGACTCTACTCCGGATGTGAGCCATACGGATCAGCTGTCACTATGTTTTCGATACGTAAAAGGCCGTGACATTCATGAACGGTTTATTGCTTTCATTCCAATTGAAGGTCACACAGCAGACTATCTTTTGTCTATCGTTTTGAATTTCCTAGAGGAGAGTAAAATTGACATGCAAAACTGCAAAGGCATTTCATTTGATAACGCTTACAATTTGGCTGGAATTTATGGTGGCCTTCAGCGTTTGATTATTCAACGAAATGAATCGGCGATTTTCGTGCCTTGCACTGCTCACTCACTGAACTTAGTGGGTAAAAATAGTGTTTCTAAAAACATTACCGCATCTAATTTTTTTGATATGATCGAAAAATTGTATGGTTTTTTTGTTTATTCATCTTTTCGTTGGAATCGACTCAAAGAACAATTGTCCGAGAAAGGCGAATTTATGTTAAAGAGAGCAACTGGCACAAGGTGGTCGGCTAAATTCCAATCAGTTCAAGCTTTGCACTCATGTTACTTGAAAGTGTTAACTGTTTTGAATTCTCTCATTTCTGAAAAAAGCCTCAGTGAAGATAACAAAGCATCGGCAAAAGGTTTGATAGCCAAATTGTGCCAATTTAAAAATATTTTAATGCTTGTCTTGTGGAAAAGTGTTTTGACTAAATTTAACTTTGTAAATTTAGCTTTACAAAAACCAAATCTGACTCTTTCGACGATCACAAAACTATATGCTTCAATAGTTACAGATCTTGAAAACAAGGATTACAACAAAATTTTCGATGAAGCCTTGACAATTTTCGACAATATTCCTTCTGATTTTCAAGCAGATTTTATTCAGTCTCGTTCAACAGCGCAAGCACTTGTTCCAGAAGATGAGAAAGAAAATTTTAAAAAATCGTTATTCGAACCTGTTATCGATGCTCTGTTATCAAATTTGAAAAAACGTGCTGATATTTATAATGATTTGGAAGACTTTTTCTCATTTTTAATAAATTTAAATTCAATGAGTGACGAAGACATTGCTGTATCATGTAAAAAAGTAGTCGAAAAGTATCCAAATGATCTCAATGAAGTTCAACTAACTGATGAATGTCAATTTGCCAAAAATTACTTTACTTTTGATAACTTAAATCATGAATCGATGTACAAAACAATGTTCGATGATCATCTTTGTGAAACTTTCCCGAATTTAGACATTTTATTACGCATTTATTTATGCATGTTTGTCACTAATGTTACAGATGAAAGATCATTTTCAAAATTGAAATTGATAAAAAATTGTTTGCGTAACACTATGGGAGATGATCGTTTGAACAGTCTATCAGTTCTTTCCATTGAAAATAACTTGTTGGATGAATTAAACTTTGATGAAATTATTGATAAGTTCGTAACACTCAAGTGCAGAAAAGTTGTGGTTTAATTTTGTTGGGCAAATAAATAAAAATCTATCATATTATCATATGAATATTTTTTTTCATTGGCCCCCTTGAGTCCGGGGCCCTGGGGCAATGGTCCCAAAATTTGTTCGATAATCCGCCACTGATTTCCACACACAATTTTTTTAATGTAATAAATTAGGAACAACTTAGTGAAAAATCGTAAATTCAAAACTTTATCAAGCAGCCATATTTAACTGTCAGTGCTTGGTTTAACTTGTGTTGATGATTTTGATTAACTGACACACCCTTTAACGAATGTGCCGTATAGTTATTTGGCTGTTTTCATTATCTATTTTTTTCAAACCACATAAGGGACCAATGATGCGTATGCGCAACATCACATATATCACGACATCGAGAAAATGGCCGCACCGGTTTTAACAAAACTTTATATATTTCCTTTTCTCCTCCCTATTGATCATATGGTATAAGATTTAGTGAAAACATTTTTAAATTTTCGGTCCTTAACCTGTTAAGAGCAAATTGACCCCGCCCTACTGCGTACCACTCTCATAAGTAACGCGAAAAGTGGCCGCCAAGCATTCGAAATGATGCACCCTGTGGGGAAAATCTCTAGTTCTGAACTGGTGCGCTTCTAGTACATTTAGACCCAGTAATGGTTCGCGATAAATCTCTTTTGCATGCAAGCAACTGGCGAATTTAACATGGCGATGTCCTAGGAAGTGTCAATTTCCCCCCGCTGCATCCCTTTTTCGATATTTCCGAACTAGTCCTAAATTCTATAGTTCCGAACCAGTTCTAAAATCGACAGATGAAGAAAAAAAGTATCATGATTTTTCAATCTTTTTGGTTATTCCGATCTTAAAATATTTTGGAAGAAATGTGTTTTCAATTTGAAATTAAATTGCTTTGAATGATTGTAAAAAATGTACGTTTACATACCTTTAGCTGTAGCTGAGTTTGCAGAGGTGCTCGCTGTTGTTTCTTAGATTCCAGACGGTCCCAAGATCTTGAAATGTTAACATAAATTTTAGTTTTGTATTACCAAGCTATGAAAAAGCATCTGCGAAGCGCAGAATAAAAGCGTATTTGAACGAAAAAGCCGCCGAACACATATCTATGTAAAGTAAACAAGCCCCCCGCTGCATCCCTTTTTCGATAGTTCCGAACTGGTTCTAAATTCGACAAATAAGATCTAGTTCGTTCTGCATCCCTTTTTCTATAGTTCCGAACTATTTCTAAATTCGTTACTTTAGATTTTTTTTAGAAATTAGTTTTTTAAAAGTACCACTTTTCGCCGATTTTGGACTAGTGGGCGGTCTAGTTCCTTTTTGGCGATAAAGACCTAGTACGGAACTAGAAATTTGATTCACTAGTCCACGGTTTCCCTACAGGGCAGTTACTCTACGCATATATGAATTCTAAAACTTTAATCGACGGTCCGTTTGCTTCCACATATACTCTTCGAAAGAAAAAGCGCGAAAGTTTAATCCGACAATTCCCAAATTGTTATAATAGAACTCATTTCGAAGCATTCATTATAGACTTTAAAATGGTCCAGTAATGTATGTGTACCTGAAAAAGTTGTGGTAATTTTGATCCAATCATTGAAAGAGAGTTAAAATTGATAAATGTGTTTAGTATTCAAGCGCGCAGCGGAATATTGGTATACATTTTGATGTTAAATTAAAAACGTTAGGCCTATAATTATGCAACACTTTTTACTCCAAACTTACATTGCAAATTTTGTTGGCCATTATCGGAATATATATAACTTTGTTCGACGGTCGGTGTTAACCGTCGTCCTCAGTAGATAAAAAACGCTTGCGAATTTAACCTTATTTAGGCTGGATACAAATACGGCGCAAGGGCTGGTTTATTTCTAAGTGGAAAGTGACAATTTACAAATTTGAATATTAAATAAGGGATGTTACTACTTACTGAAGTGTGTCCTTCTTCTTTGCTTGACAACACACAAACACATTTTTCAGACTATGACATACGGGAACGTACTCTTTGTCCCATTCAGCTTATACTGCCTGACGTATCATGTAATTTTCTTTCGTATCGTTTTCGATCCGTGAACGGATGTTATGATTCGAACCCTGCATGAACCTATCGTTATCGGTGCGCAAACGGTTAATTGCAAAAGCTCATGCAAATTTGCATATAAAGGCAAAGAAAAATGACGCATGAGGTAATTTTACACAAACAAGTAGTAAGGATACAAACTGGAAATGTATTAACTGCACCTATGTACTTTGACTTCATGTTAGTAGATATGTACATATACGTGTTCAAGCGTTGACGTTATACCGTAGGAAGGGCTTGCTGCGACAGTCGGTAATAGCCGGTGAATCTTTTCACTAAAATTGAAAGAATAGGGTCCAATCTTCATTTTTTTGTAGTCAGAAGGCGAGAGGTAGGCAGAGTTTGTTTTCCAAATTGCCAGCGCTGTATTTTTCGATTCGAAATTATCTTTTGATCAAATCACGGAAACAATATAATTACTTTATTTCAAAAAAAAAATGCCATTCAAATTCTAGTAACAAACCTAACTTACGTACACATATATTTAGAAACGCTGCTGAAATGCGTGAAAACCTTCCCCAGGTTTAGCTTTGCAAATTTTACGTGACTTCTATAATTTTTTTTAAGATAAATATTTCTTTCTAGGAAAAAAGTTATGTATTTGGCTTTTTGAAACTTATCTTTATAGAACGGAATTATTAAAATTTTAAATTTCAATGGTAAAAAATTTGCCTTTTTGCCACCAAAATTCCTAGCTTCCATAGTGAAGGATCCATCTAAGCTCTGGCATCTTTCATATGTTATTCAACATGTCTATCAGTCTGCTTATCTCGTGTAGAATTAAGTTTATACATATGTATTATATTTTCCACTAAACACCCCATAGTTTTAGAACTCTTATTACTCTTGCCATTTCTCCTCCAAATGCATTTCTCAGCTGCATTTCTGTAGCTCGAAAAGGAAATAGTAGCCTCCACAATAATACTGCAAGGAAAGCAATGTGCGTAATAGTAACCTCAAGGGAAACTCGTAAATCAACAAAGAGCAAAAACAATTAGAAGCACTCTTTGACAGAAACTGTGCTCAAGTGGCATTTCAGTAAGTTATCATCGCAAATAAGTCACAGCATAGTTCTGTTTGAAATGTTGATGGGTGTCTGTTATTCACATTTGAAGAAGTACCTGCACTGTGACAATTCATAAGAACTTGTGTGGTAAGCACCAAGCTTTAAACCTGTGCACTTGCCTGCAGCATCGCAGATTAGTAGTGTCGGACAAAGTACTTAGAGAAAAAGTAGAGATCCCAAAATAATGCCTACTTGCGAATAGTTTTATCATCCCCACTATTAAATAACGTATATATTTTCATTAGAGCTGCAAAAGTATCGATATTCGCCGTACTCGACACTTTCGATATCCAAGAGAAAAGAACTCGATACATCGATATATATCGTTAAATTTTTTATTCTAATTGAAACAAAGGAAAAACATCTGCTCATTCAACAAATGCATAGAACCATCTACCCAGCGTTGCCGAATGAACGATTTTGACATTATTGTATTATAATTTTGTTCGCATAACGATTGTTTGTAACAGCCAAAACTAATCGAGATAGATATAAACAAATGTATACATACATAAATGCTCGGAATGAAAAGAGAAATCGATTAAGCCATGTCTGCCCGTCCATCCGTCTGTCCGTCTGTCCGTGTACACGATAACTCGATCAAAATTTTAGATATGTCAACGAAATTTGGTAAGTAGGTTTCCTTTTTTCCAAGGTAGGTTGGGATTGAAAATGGGCAAATTCGGGCAATAACCAGCCCACCTCCCATATAACGGTATTTTCGAAATATGCAAAAATTAAGATATTTCCGCAAATACTGGATCCAAATTGTTGAAAGTTGGTATTTGAAGTAGAATTTTGGCATAAAATAAGACAGTTACAAAATTTTTGGAAAATGTGTGTGGCCCCGCCCACTTATGATGAAATGCTGTATCTCTGTAGTCCCTGCATGGCGCCTCCCACTTGCCCTACACAAGTATGTGTACCTCAGCACCCGATTTATCAATTTCTACCAAACTCGGCGCATTTAGCAACCTTGGCGCGAAATATAAATCTGTTGAAAATGTTTGAAATCGGACTAAAATTACTGCCACTTACCATATAACGATAAATTTCAGAAATACGAAAACTCTGATCTTTCAATATCTAAAGAAGCCAACTTACAACAATATTTTAACAGGACACAAGATTATTGATTTTTGTTAAACGGGCGTGGTACCACCCACTTATGACAGCATAAGTATATATCGATAACCGCCTTACCGATTTCCACCAAATTTGGTCCATTTATTTCAGTATATCATAGCATATTATTGAAACTGTTTAACATCGGGAAAAATACTCTTCCTTATCATGCAGTTCACTGAAAGGTGAAAAAAAGGATATTTAATATGTGCGCCGGGTATATAATGTTCGGTTTCGCCCAAACTTATAATTCTTTACTTGTTTATTTTAGTTTTTCCACTTAGTTACCTATGTGCATGTGTATGTAAATTTTTTTTTTTTAAGAAAAACATAATCCAAAATACAACTATGCATTTATCTAGTTTTGTTCTAAAGCCGTGCTTTTAGTTATATTAAATTTGTTCTAGAATTGTAACCAAATCATAAATGTGCACTGCTGACACTTATTTGAAAGACATAGAAAAATAGCAGTCAAGATTATCTATCATTTAACTATTGTAACACCAGAATATACCCTAAAAACATGAAATCCGTTCTTTCCTTTTTCCAAATATAAACCGTTTTTGAGCTTCGTGTGTATACATTGGTTCTAGTAGTAATGACATATTATAATAGGCGGCATATACGGTGCATCTGACTCGCGAGTCGGATTGGTGGTGGTATTTGTGAAAATAAATATGTGTTAGTTACACCGACATGACTCTGGCACGACTCTGAATGACTCAACTGTGTGTAGTCGAAAGGCGAGTCAACACG